AAGAGAGGTTTTTTTTAAACTATTTTAAATTTTTAATTATGATTTTGTATTTTTCAATAAAGTAGATTTAATTTTGTGAATTGTGATTTTTATGATTTTTTTAACTTTTTTTATTTTTATATTATGAGTGTTACCTAAAGCTTATACAAAAGTACTTCTCCATCAAGGAGAATTAATACTTCTTCCACACCCTACCTCCTCCTATTCCCACAGACTGCTAAGTTGTGTCTTCTTGGTGAAGAATTATGAGCTGGACCAGGCCTTCCAAATCTTCCTCAGTCCCGTGTGCTGTGCATGTGCTACCCATCCTCCCTTTCTCATCCAATCTGTTAGGATGAAGTTAACAGGTCACGCCTAGTCCCAAGTAGTGTGAGCAAACATTTTACTTCCTCAATCTCTTAACCTGCTGCATATTTTCCATAGGTCAATTCTAGTCTCAGAATAGGGTGGCCAAGCAGTATCTCCCTCTATCACCTAACCTTATAGAATGTGGCCCGCGGGTTACTCCTAGAGCAGTATGGCCAAGAAGTCCTCCCTCAATCTCTTAACCTGTTTGACCTTGCCCATAGGTCAATTCTAGTCTCAGAATATAGTGGCCAACAGGTATCTCGCTCTGTCACCCAACCTTTGTAGAATGTGGCCCATGGGTCACTCCTAGATTCAGAGCAGTATGGTCAAGCAGTCCTCCCTCAATCTCTTAACCTGCTGGATATTTCCCATAGGTAAATTCTAGTCTCAGAATAGGGTGACTGCTTGGTCTTATCTCCCTCTATCATCCAACCTGCTAGAATGTGGCCCATAGGTCACTCCTCGACTCAGAGAAGTATGGCCAAGCATCTCTTGACCTGTTGGATATTGCCCATAGGTCAATTCTAGTCTCAGAATAGAGTGGCCAAGCAGATTCTCCCTCTATCCCCCACCTGCTAGAATGTGGCCCACAGGTCACGCCTAGACTCAGAGCAGTATGGCCAGGAAGTCCTCCCTCAATCTCTTAACCTGTTGGATATTACCCATAGGTGTCACGATCTGGGATCAGGCTCGGAGTCCAATAGCTGTAATGTGGGTGGGTACAAGAGCAAGCCTGCTATTGGCTATTGCAATTTGAAATGACCAATAGCAGCCTAGCTATTCATTCCCCTGCTATTTATTTTTTTTATTTTTTTTATTGTGATGGTGGCCGTTGGCCGCTGTCAAAATAAAAAAAACAGAGAAGGTACCTCCCTGAAATGAGAAGGGCACCTCCCTGAAATAAGGTTTTGCAGGTTGGGATGTCTGTAACAGCAGGCAAAATGATAGTCAAACAGGCCGAGTTCGGTACACAAGCAGACGGTAGTAGTATAGGAGCAGGCAAAAGCGTCGTCAGAGATCAAACCGAGGTCAGTAGCCAAAGGTATCAGGTATGAAGTGGTAGAAGATGAGAGTAGTCGGTGAATCATCAGCCAAAGGTCGGTACACGGGTAGCAGTATGAGCAGATTGTATCACAGGAGGAGCAAGATATTTGCAGGAGCACAATAATCTGGCACACGGTAAGTGCAGAGGCGGGGCCTAAATAGGAAGTTCAAGGGAGGAGCAAGGAGTTCAGAGATCAGCAGCAACTAGGGTTACCTGAGGATCACACAGGAGATCAGGCAAGGAGCTATTCAAGGTTCTAAGGTGGCTCAGCAGGTGGAACCACTGCAAGCTACAGCAGAGGCCCTGGGCCTCTGCTGTAGCTGATCCCGTTCCTGACAATAGGGCAATTCTAGTCTCAGAATAGAGTGGCCAAGCAGTATCTCCCTCTATCATCCAACCTGCTAGAATGTGGCCCATAGGTCACTCCTAGTATGGCCAAGCATCATTTCTATATTTCAGAGGACCCAAAACCACTGCACTGTCTTTGAAGCATTCAGCTGTCTAGAAAGCAGGTGGGGCAAGTTCAAAACCTTACAGGTAGTAGCCCACCTCCGTTACTCCTGCACATTCCAGCATACATGTTTTATTGATCTGGGTGTTACCAAACAGAATCATTCATTCTGGGCTTTCTCCTTAGGAAGCCCAGTATACCATCACTTACACTAGTATGAATTCACCCTATACAGTGAAAACTAAGGTGACAATAAATATAAGAATAATGTGCAATAATTTTATTGTGAACTTTAAATATAGAGAACTTTTACTTTGAACTTTATGATGTCATGCTTATTGATGAAATACAAAGTTTCTTTATTGTTTCTTTTACTTCTTTGTTGTTCAGACTGTATATGATCGGGTTTAACATCGGGCATACGATATTATAAAAAACAGAAATGTATTTCCCTTGGCTCGTGGAGTAGTCTGATGAGGATCCAAAGTACATCACCATCCCAGTCCCAAAGTACAAGGCCACCACAGAGATGTGAGAGGTGCATGTGGAGAAAGCCTTGGACCTGCCGGCGGATTTGATCTGTAACACTGCTGCGATAATGCAGCCGTACGTCACAATAATATAGACAAAAGGGAGAAGGATGCTAGTGAAACACAAAACAAGTATGGAGACTTCACTCGAGCGGACGTGGACGCACGCCAGTTTTATGATGGCCAGGAGCTCGCACATATAATGGTTGACCCGGTTGGGATTGCACAGAGCCATAGGCGAGGAAAGCGATGGAAAAACAAATAGGAAGAAGCTGATGATCAACAACAAGGCTGTAAGCCGATAACAAACACTCCATCTCATGACAACGGGGTAACGGAGAGGCCGACATATGGCGACGTATCGGTCATACGCCATGAGGGCCAGAAGAAGACACTCGGTACCTCCCATGAGCATAATGGTGTAGAACTGAAGAGTGCAAGCTCCCAATGATATGGATCTCTGAGCGGAGAGTAAGTGGTAAAGCATCCTCGGGACAACCGACGAGGAATTGCCCAGATCCAGAAGGGACAAAATGCAGAGGAAAAAGTACATTGGAGTTCGTAAATGAGGATTAATAATAATGATGATGATTATAAGATAATTTCCTACAAGAGTCGCCACGTAGATCACCAAGAACACAACAAACAGGACGACCTTTGTCCTGAAATCTGCGGAAAATCCTAGAAGAATGATTTCCGTGATCATCGTCTTGTTCTCCAGGCTCATGACACAGAATTATCCAAAATTCAATGGAGGTCACCAGAAACTGGTCTAGAAGTAAACCCTTCCCGTGGTAAGGTAAGTGGGGGCTTGTCTGCAAAGTAAATGTACAGTAACTAGTAGGGTTGCACAGATACCAAGTACAGTACGCGGTACAAGTACTCGGTACAAGTACCGATACTTTTGAGCTCCAAGACTAGACTAGAGAAAAATTCAAAAGTTAGGAGGCAGCTGTCATTTGTAATGACCACACAGAGGTCCCAGGATTTGTACATCTCTGCTTTAATGTACGATTTTGTTTTTATAAATATAAATAAAGTGATGCACAGATACCAGTTTTGCGAGTACAAGTACTGGTACTTGCCGAGTACTTACAAGTACGAGTACTGATACATTTTTGTTTATTGTCATGTGACAGTTTTTCTAAAACAATACAGACTAATGATTTCAGGACAGTGGTGGAGCGCCAGAGCCCGGTCCCAGCTGCAACCGCTGCAACCCTGGTAGTTCTCATGAAAATACCAAGTATCGGCACTGGTACTCGAAAAGTATCTGTGCATTCCCTAGTAACTAGTTATTTTTTTGGTTTTATTTTAATGGTAAGTTGCTTCAGTTTTATGGATAAAAGAATGGAAAGTTTATGAACATATATAACACGTAAGAACAAAGTAGCCAGTAGATGTCTTACCCAACCAGGTCAAAAAGCACAACGCACATGAATCCTTCAGAAGTCTCTGTTATTTGGACCAGCAAACCTTCAAACATATATTATGATTTTATGTCCTTGCCGTTATTGTTGCTGTTTTTACCTTTTGATTTAACTTTTATTTTCAAACGAATTAGCTTTTGACTTTCAGTAATCCTTATTACTTCCAGCAAGCAGGCGCCTCCGTAGGAGACATTCCAAACAGGGATTTTATTCGTTCAATATATACATAAAGGTTTTTCAGATACACATATCAAAAATGAATAAATTACACTTTCCTAACTTTATTTTACCAATACTTATTAAAATGAATATTACAATTAGTTAATATTAAATAAACATAGAATTAAAATGATTGAAATGATTTCTACATAAATATTAAAATAATATTTTTTACAAATACATAACAAAATTATTATTTAAATTAATTAATATTAAACAAACATAGAATTAAAATGATTTACATTATTTTAAAATAATATTACAATTAAAATAATATTAAAATTACAAATAAATGTTATAAAATATTTAAATTTCTCTTCTCTTTATAGTGTTTTCAAGTATCATAATTGATCAGCAGCAAAACATATTTTGTTGATCACAAACTGCAGAGAAATCTGAGAACCTTGGCCGTCCATAAATCTACTGCTGTAATGCTATTCAGAAATTGATAATTTCATCTACACGTTCCACAAGCAATGTTCGCTTCATCAGGATCGAGCTGAGCGGCACATTTCAATATCTGCATTGATAAAAAAAAAATCAATATGGACATAATAAATTATTTGTTTCCTTGGTCTGTTTTCTTTCTTTCATTCTGATCAAGATCACCCTCCTGCTTCTGGCCTAATTTCTGGATCTGACTTAAATCTGACCTCCGACCTTCCATTCAGTCTTGCACAGTTGTACCGGCTCCTCTCCTCTTCATGTGATATCTCTGCACACTGGGAGCTTTTCACAATGTGCATTAGAAGCTGCAGCAAGTCAGACAGAGCTCCGCCTCATTTCCTGGCTGGAGGACGTCTAGCATCATCTGGTCTTTCCTCCTTTATTGTCACTGACCCACTGTTTTTATTCCACTGAGCTGAGGAGCCAACAGAGACAACTTTCTCTCTCAGGTCCGCTCCACTGCTCAGTGGGTGGGGTTTCAATAGCCAGTCTGCTGTTGGCTACTTCAAATTAAATTACATCCACCTGTTGCCTGCGGAAGCTACATGGCAGGAGAATTGTGCCGCACGGGGGGGTTGGCTGTTGCGCTGCAGGAGGGGGGTGCAGGTAGCTGGTCATGCCTAGGGCGCAAAATAGTCTAGCACCGGCCCTGATGATTGGATTTCAATCACGGTGGCTCAGTATCACATGTGGGCATTATTCCAGCTTTCAGGAAGCTATTTACAGCCTTCTGCTGTCTCTTCCCACAGCCGTGATCTGCCTGCATTGCACAGAGACCCAGTGATGATGTCACTGGGTCTAAAATAAGGTGTGTGATGATAATATACTTTTTTTAAAGGGTAATTCAACCCTCCCAGATGGTCTTGGAAAAATGGAAATGCTCCCTCCAATCTGGAATCTGGAATCCCCCCCTTGCTATACTTACCTTTGAGCCAACACTCCTTCCCCTCCACTGGTTTAGTGTCCCGTACCCCACACTGCCACAGCCCTGCGTTCTCTATTTTGAATCTCACTAACAAATAGCGAGCGCTCATTGGTCAGTGCGGTCACCTGACTGTGCTGCCTGATGAAAAGCACTTCTTAGCAAGAAGTGCTTCTCAATTGGTCAGCCCGGTCAGAGGCGCCTCTCATTGGTCAGCGTAGTCAGGTGAGGGGGAGAGGGGGCCAGATCAGAGGTGGTAATTCCATTTTCCCAAATTCAACTGAGAAAGTGGAATTACCCTTTTAAAAAAAACCATTAAAAGGTTTAAGGGGGGGGGGGGGAGGATCCAGATTAGACAAAATATAAGCAAATTAAACTTCAGCTTTTAAGGCTTTTGGAGTGGATTTGTTTCTTACCTGTTTCAATGTAGTTAGATGTTTTCTTCTTCTTTGTACTCGCTTTATCGCAAACCCAGCTTGCTTTTTACCTTTCTCCCATTAATGATCCTTGAAGGGTGTCAATAAATCAGACTAAAGCTAGAAAAACAAAAAAAAACACACACACACATGGGGCAGATGAAGTAGATCACACACACGGCAAGACGATCCAATAAAAGGTCATTTCTCTTGAAGACGTTTCACTGGTCATCCGACCAGCTTTCTCAATTCAGAAATGATAAAGAAGAGAAGAAATTCTGAAGTTTAAAGCGAGTCGGATGACCAGTGAAACGTCTTCAAGAAAAATACAGCGAGTCCAGTTGCCTTATTTTTTTACAGATATTACCTGCACATGGACAATGTAACATATACACTATATTGCCAAAAGTATTGGGACACCCCTCCAAATCATTGGATTCAACTCCATGGCCACAGGTGTATAAAATCACGCACCTCGGCATGCAGCCGCTTCTACAAAGATTTTTGATAGAATGGGTCGCTCTCAGGAGCTCAGTGACTACAAGCGCGGTACCGTGATGGGTTGTCACTTATTGCTGAATTGAGCTTAATGGTATATTTAAAGCTGGTTTAGGGGTGACACCAAAGGAACAGGTGTCCAGAGATACAGTATACAATACTTGCCAGCTGTAAGATTGTTATTGATGAGGTATTTAATACTACAGATTATTATATACTATGCTTTTTTTCTAAGTTGTTTTACTATTATTTATGATATATGATAAAATTGCTCTTTGATTTAATGAACAAGATTGTTTAATGTTTTGTATGTAATATTGAACCCTACAGACTAGGTCTGGGATGCCATTAAAGTTCATGTGCGTGTAAAGGCGTCCCAATACGTTTGGCAATATAGTGTATATTTATATGTAAAGAGAAATATGTATAATACACCATAGTTTTATGTGATAATATTTTTTCATAATTAAACATTTTTATTGTTTTATTTTTATTAAAATGTAACATTTTTTAACATTTTAATTTAATGACAGAGATGTAGACGTCCTTTTCATATTAATAAAAGTTTAAAGAAAAAGAAACCCCTAAGAAATCCAGTGTTTGGCATATGACATCCCATGTCTGGGAGAGGTATAAAAAGAAGGAGACGAAGAAAGAATGAAAACGCAAACAATGTATTATCATTTTCATACCTCAGAATTAATCAAACAGAATATTCACAAAGAAAGCTGGTGAGAGAAATAGCAGAGACCTTTTCCATTTCAAGGCAGTGAAATGCAAAATTAAAATAAAAATGATAAAAATGAAGATGACATAAAAAAAAGCAAAAAAATAAATCACATGTATGAAGCTGTGATGTTATTCTGGTCGCTGGCTGACTTTGAAAGCGATCACTTAGCCACAGAATTTATAATCCATTTCTAAACCCTGGAGATGGATTATCATCAAAGGACATAAATATGTTCGTTACAATCCTCAGTTTCCTAATCATTATATTCTCTAAGCTCGGCTTTTATTGCTTTTTTCTTTTTTTTTTATTATAGCTGCTAATGCTAAATAGTAACCTATGTTTATACCATTTGATCCCTTTCATGTCTAAGGGCCCGTTCATAGCAGATGCAGTGTGTTCCGGCCCGATGCTGGCCAAAACGCACTGCACCGCATTGCGGCCGGCTCACTTTTTTTGTGACGCAGGAGGGGGCGTGGCGGACCATTGAAGTGAATGGCACCGTAGCCACGCCCTCCGGGCTGCACGGGATCGCAAGGCACATTATGCCTGCGGTCCGGTCTTGTCCGGTGCGATCAAAATGCTGCAAGCACTATTTTGATCGCATCGGAGCGCAGGCATAATGTGCCTTGCGATCCCGTGCAGCCGGAGGGCCTGGCTACGGTGCCATTCACTTCAATGATCCGCCACGCCCCCTCCTGCCCCACAAAAAAAAGTGAGCCGGCCGCAATGTGAGGCAGTGTGTTCTGGCCAGAATCGGGCCGGAACCCACTGCGTCTGGTGTGAACGGGCCCTCAGGGTCATCAGAACCGTCGTGAGCAGGCTACATTTTGTTTTGACAAGTGTTTTGCAATGCAGTAGTTTACGTTCAAGTTATATTTAAGCAGTTACAGTTTGTG